TAGATGGAAAAACAGAGAGAGAGAGAGTAACAGAGTTATGGTTTGATGAGTCCCCCACTATTCCCATACATTTTGTTATTTATTTTAAATACATTATGTATTATTTTTGTGCTATTAAAACAACTATATTTTACATTTCATTTAGGGTATGTCAATTGAATTTAATGAAAAGCTAGTTGATACACGATAAGTTAATTGATAGCTTATAAGTTTGTTTGGAACCGGTAGTTAATAGTTTGTGGCTGATAACTTAAAAATTAGTTGGTATAATAATAGTTTGTGGTTCATCATGACTGAAAAACTAATTGATACCCGTTAAGTTAAGTGAATGATTATAATTTAATTTGGAGCTGGTAATAGATAGTTTATGGGTGATGAGTAAAAACATATTGATGTCATAATAGTTTATTATAGTTGGTTACTGAAAAACTAGATGATAAATAAAAATATTTGATAATATTAATTGATTAGTTACCTTAAACAAAATATCAATGAAATATTTTAAAACATTAGATCCATAAATAAAGCTCAAAATTTTAAATATCAATGAAATATTTTGAAACATTAGATCCATATCCATAAACATATGACAAAAGCTCAAAATCAGAATACATAAAATTATATTATAAGCTGTCAAAATAAATTATAAGGCGAATTAAATCATGCAACATGAAATCTCATAATTGGAATTTATTTTTTCTTGAATCTAGCTCAATGAATTCCTTTTTTAAAACATCGTGACGTGACACACCAAAAGGCTTAACAAATGCTCTTTAAGAACACAATCAATAGTGTGCGAATGCACAAAATTTAAAATCGTCTCAGATCTCATCGAAGTCTTTTGGGGGTGGACCAAAATTTTGAAATAAATTGGTTATAGATTATGGGGCAGCCCGCAGCCCCTACCCAATTGGGTCCAAGGTACCATCACCCACAGCAATTAGTACAACTCGATCTGCATATCACAAAAATACAGAGATGGCATTAAACCAAAATGGCATTACCATAGTGATATAGCATATGTGAGCAGCTCGGAATACCGAACTTAAGAGCAGCTCGGCAATACCCGAGGCTCGGTATAATAGGAGCTCGGGTATAAACACTTGTATCTATAGCTCGGCCTAGAGAGAGCTCTAGTAAGGCCGAACTCGGAATAGGATATTAAAAGCGTTTTATAGCGAAGTACTGAGATGCCGACCTGTAGAAGCACCATAAACATGGAGAGTCGACATACGAGGACGGTTATGAGATGTGGTCCATAAGGGACTCGTGTAGAGCCAGGATAAAAAAGAAATAAATGATCTGACAGAGGAGAAGCAAAGCGTACTGAAGAAGCTAATAACTCTCTATAAATAGGTAAAATTGAGAAAAATGTAAGGTCCATCACATTCTATATTCTAAATATTTCATACAGTACTATACAAACTTTTCAACATCCTTACTGACTTGATCGTCGGAGGTTTAATGTCGTGAACACCTCCCGGCATCTTTGCAGGTCTCTGGGAAGCAAGGCGGTCTAGGAGCGTTGGAAGGCCGGTTCGAGGTGCAACTGCTCATCAAATAGCTTTAAATTAATTTTTTTAAAAAAATTATAACCTTACAAATAAAGCAGTTAACCTACTACATAATAGTGATAGATTACTTCTATATTCAAATTTTTAAATTTTAATTTTTTCCAACTTTAATCCACCGGAAATAGAATTGTAAACGAGTCAAGTTTGAAATCCTAATATTAGAACTTAACTCGTTAAGTTCACGAGCTCGAACTTTAATGATCTCATGTATGATGAAAGTTTAAAAAGTTACAAAAAAAATCTTAATTATTAAATCTGACTAGCCTTAGGTGAATGCTCTTATTTATCAAGACTCTTATAAATCATTGTTTGA